TTTTGTTTCTCTCTCTCTCTCTCTCTCTCTTTATATATATATATATATATATATATGTGTATCGATTGTGTCCAGAGCCATTGCAAAGTTTATTGCGCAGCAGGCTGCGCATGCTTTCCCATACTGTTGTTGCCGAGTGGCCCCTTTCCCGATGGGATCGGCCATCAGAAAGATGATCTTGGCCAAGGACCTAGCGTATGCAGTTGTGCATATCGCAAGTATGACTATCATCTTCGCCCGCGCTCCTTATGGGGCCACGGACCGTGTGAGGGGCGTGCCGAAACGCGTGGCAGGGCACACAACGCGGGGACTGCGCCACTAGGACCTCAAGAGGAGTTCCCCAAGGGGCCACGAAACGTGTGAGGGGTGTGCCAAAATAGGGCCGCGCCGCCATGCGAGCTGCGCCGTTGGGACCTTAGTTGGAGCTCCCCATGGGGCCACGAAGCGTGTGAGGGGTGTGCCGACAGGGGTGGTGGGGACTATGATGATGATGGCGATGATGATGATGATGATGATGATGATGATGATGATGATGATGATGATGATGATGATGATGATGATGATGATGATGATGAATCTGATGATGATGCTAATGATGATGATGATGATGATGATGATGATGATGATGCTGATGCTGATGCTGATGCTGATGATGATGATGATGATAATGATAATGATGATGATGTGCATGAGGATGATGTTTCAGATGGCGACGCTGATAGATGATGGGCGATGATGGTAATGGTGACGATGATGCTGATGATGAGGGGAAGGAGGGGGGGCAACGGGAGGAGGAAGGAACGTGGGGCGTTGTCCTTTTCAAAACGAGGGCTCAACACCGCAGGATGGTTGGGAAACGTAGATCGCGCACAACCCAAGCAACAGCACCAGTTTGTTCTCTTGTACGCGACCCCGGTAATGATTGGACTGGCGGCCAGGAGCACTTGTTTCCCACTCCAGACGTAGCCGAATTAGCGCCGCTTTTCGGCGACAGCAGCAGTTCATGCTTTCGCGTGCGGCCCCGCTTGCGATGTGACCGGTGCCGTGCCCAAGCGGGAACTCCAGTTTGAGGAAGATTTGCGCGGCGTTGAGGCACAATCTGCTCTTCAATCTCCTCGCTCATGATGTACGCCGCTTGACTTCAGCTGGCGCGCAACTTGCAGTCTATGACACACGACGCAGCGTTGTGCAAACAATTTTTTCGCAACAAATTTCCACACGACGCAACGTTGTGCAAACCACGTTTTGCAACATGTTGTCTGTCACTTGCTTCATGGAAATCCCTCGGCGGGGTCCAGGATAGTTGGTGAGTGCAGGCACGGGACGATAGGCAACGAAAAACATGTCGAGCGATCCAGCGGGCTCTTGTGTTTTCCCCCCTCCCCCACACACGTTGGAGCTACAGTTAAGTCGGGCGTGTCCCTCTGCAGGAGGAATCTTCAACAATAGTCAGAAAATAGTCTGGGAACGATTTTCCGAGTACTTGTTTGACAATGTTTAAGCATGTTTCATGTGTTCTTATTGTTTCATCGAAAACGGCCTGTATGAGGGACATGCCCGACCTAAAGCGACAGAGTTGTGGCCGAGGCAGCTCTACAATTTGTTCATGCAAAACGGCGTGCCAAGGTGATGTGCGATTGCTTGAGAGGGGAGGGCAAGGGGGTGCCATACATCAGATCCGAAACCCACGGTGGCGCGATAAGCTGATGCATTGCGCATGTGACCAGGCGTTCGCCGTCTAAGCGAAGTCAAATTGAGCGTCGGGGACATGGATTGGATGCAGCCCGCTTGGCGCTGTGAATTCACGTGCGAAGTGAACGCGGTGTTCCCGCCCATGCGCGATTGCATTCCAACGCGTTCGTTCCTTTGTCGTGCTGCTCTTTTCGCGCGTAAAGGAATTATCGCGCTGAGCGCGCGTGCGAAATTCAAGACGCCTGTGGTTCCATGCTGAGAGGATCTCCCGTTTCCCTTGTGGGCCGCCATCGATTCGGTGCAGTCCGCCCCCCCCTGAAACAACACAAGGCGCGCGACAACGGCAGCACAAGTTACAGGAAACAATGTTGACGCTTTCGCGGGCAATTGTTCTGCCGATGGGGTCTACGGGAAGACAGCATGCGCCGCGCCCAAGCGGCATGGCCGCTTTCAGGAACAAGCCGTGTTGCGGATTGGCGATGTCAAGATTTCGCCGTCTGAATCCCGCCACGCACTTTGCAGTGTCGAACGTGCACACGCCGCGATGAACAGACTCACGCTGACATTGTTTCTTACTTGTTTGGTCGATTGTCACCAGTTGGTTGGTCCCACTTACCGGGGCGAAAAGGAAGGAAGTGGGAGCATCCAGCGATAAGGGATAAGGATCCAGTGCCGTTTTTAAGACATGCTCCGCGTGCGGATCATGTATGAAAAATGCAGGGATTTAGTATTAAACACAACGATGAGGTCATGCATACATTGATTCATAAATCAATCATTTCTAAACATCAGATGTGTTTTAAAAACCCTATGGATTAAAGAAAACTGCCCTGTATGGGGGATGCGAGACAAGGTCAGCATCTCGAGCAAGCCAGCGGCCCCGCTCATCCCCACCCTCAAGTTCCATAGCATCCGAAGTGACGCCCGTCAGAACTTGAGAGGGGCTTTCTCGCGCGCCGCGTGCGGTTCCCGTCGCCGACGTCAAGATGCCAACGCTGACAAGTAATCGGTTAATATGATATGTCTTGGTGCGTGACAGGGTATAACCCGATTTGGATTGGTCTGTGGTCTGTGGTGCTAAGGAAGGGGCCGGGATCATTTCGAACACGCGGCAAGTGCATTATAGGAAAGTGATCGTGGTCAGGAGTAGGAGTAGGAGCGAAGGGGTTTGTCTGTCCTGGTCACGAGCGATTTGATCAGCCCGATTCCAGGAATTCGTTCTGACGTTGGTTTCTAAGACTCACGGATTTGTCAACGAGTCGTGCTTGCAGATCTCGCAATCTATCGAATGGCTTTCTGCCAATCTCGCCACCGTGCTCGGGTTGTGGGTCTGAGGCCTCTTGGATGGTCGCTGGGATCTCGTGGAGGCCTCTCGGGGACCTCCTGGAGGCAGCTCTGACGCTTCTGGGGGGCTGTCTTCGGGCCGTGGGGGGGCTTCTTGGGGCCTCGTGGGGGCCTCTGCGGGCGCCTCTGCGGGCGCCTTGGGGCCTCCCTGGTGCCCCTTGGGGCGGGAGGCTCGGGCTTTCGGTTCGGGTTTCCCCTTGTTGGGCCCCCTTCTCGAGGCCATCTTGGGGCTCTCCAGGGCCGCCTTGAGCGCCTCTTGGGCCGTCTTGGGGCCCTCTTGGGCCGTCTTGGGGGTGCCTCTCGGGGGGCCTCCGGGGAAGTCTTTTTGGGCGGCCTTCGGGGCCTCTTGGGACGCCGTGGAGCGTCGGAAGCTGGAACGTTGGGGAACAAACGAGACATCGGAAAACCTAGGGGGAATGCATGATGTTGGCTGCTCGGGGCCCTTTTGGGAAGGCGCTTGGGGCTCCCGTGGGGCGGCTCGCAGACTTCTTGGGTCGTCCCGGGGCCAGCTTCGGCGTCCTGGACCGACCGTGCGGCGGCTCGGGGCCATCCTGGGGGCCATATCCTGGGGGCCTCTCGTGACCCTCTCGGCCCGTCTTGGGGTCCTGCGTCGCCCCGCTGAGCCCCGCTCCGAGAGCGATCATGGCGCAGGCAGCGCAGACGGCCAGGTCCCCGACGAAGCCCTTGGACTCCTGCGCGGTCGGGCACTTCGCCCCGCCGACGCCCACGCCCGGCGAGAAACGGCACGCACAGACGCGGCGGCGGCCACGCCTTGTCGGGGCCGAGCAGGTCACGCGAGAAGCCGTGACCCGCTCGAGGAGAGGCGCGCGCCAAGCTCCAGGAGCTTTGTCAATTTGGGGGGGCCAGGCCCCTAAGATAAGCTTCAGGGCTGAGGACTGCGGCTCAGGAGATCCAGGAAGGGTCCTCGGGCGGATCTTGAAAGAGGAGGGTGCAACAGCAGGAGGAGGCGGATGAGAAGACGGAGCAAGATTAGCAAAGGTTCAGTGCTATCCTTGTTCCATTTCTTTGTATTCACGGAGTGCAGTGGCTGGGTCGTGGACCAAAGGGAGGCCTTTTGGGATCTTTCGGGGGGCGTCTTGGGGGTCACTGCAGGCATCTTGGAGGCCTCTCGATGACTTCTTCGCAGTCTCAGGGGGCCCCTGGGGTGGTCATAAGTCCATCTTGGAAGACAGATGTTCAACGGTCTGGCGGTAGCGCATGTGTTGTCTCCCCTCTTGGAGGTGCCTCCTGGGCCCCTATCCCGGGAACCTCCTGGGGCATCTTGGACGGCCATTGCCACCAAAACACGTGAAGCGATGCCTTGGGCTCTCGGGTCGCCCCCTGGGGTCTCTTCAAAACGGCCCCAGAGATTTGAAAGACGGCTCCAGGACGGACCCCTGGGACAATATTTCAGGCGTCCCAGATATGGCTTTGCCTTCGAGGACGAAGGATTTGTCATCTCTTCCGCGGCGGAAGGCTGGCGGAGGGCGGCGGAAGCAAAAAACTTTTCCCCCAAGAGATGACAACATTTAAGGAATCAAGGTTTCCAGAATCCACCATTTGAGCACAGTGGAAGCTTTGGACCCCAAAGAACGCTTCCGATGCGTTGAGAGAAAGCCTGGATATCCCAGCAATGCGGGGCCTGGAGTATTCAAGATTCGATACGGTCGGACCGAGGTATATAAGATCGAGGTCGGTTCGGGGAGGGTACCCTAATGTTCTTCGTGCATGTTGGATGTTCTTGTGCGTCCTGGAAAAAGGTGCCCCCGAGTGGTCTTCAGTTCGGGCCGGCGTTGGGTCTCATGTTCTTCAAGGTTGTTACTATGTCCTAGGTCCCACTGTATTGAGGGTTGGATGTCCAGAATTCTGGGCCACTGCGGCCTCTCATGCGGCTGAGGACACTCCATTCAGTACCTTGGACGGTGGTGAGGCATCAGCAGAGACATCAGCAGCGGCCGTGCCAG